AATTTCTGACATTGTTTTTGCACATGCCAACAGAATGTTGAGGGCAAAAAACTTTCTGACTGAAAATGTTTTACGAGATTTCATACTCAGAAATGATATGGTTTCTGTCGTAATATAGAATGAATCTTTTTCCATGAGAGAGACCAATGTTTCTTAGTAGATGTTATACAATAGATTTAGCGGATTTCTATGGGAAAGATAGGGATGGAATTGGGCTGTGCCTGCAACCTTAATCACTTAATATTAAAGATATACATAGGATCTTGGTGTACAGCTCCAGCAAAAAGATAGTCAAATTTTGTTCTTGCAGATAAGCAGAGATCTTGGAAGAGGCTGCTCCTTATGAATTACATTTTAATGTTTTCGTTTTCTAAAGAGTCACATTATGTTCTTTGCTGCCTTGAGCTTTAAGTGATATTCTCCTTTTATGAAAACTGATTCTTGTGAATTTTTTGCTTGTCCATATAAAAGAAACTCGATTGAAAGCTTCCTGAAAATGCTGGCAGCATATAATGCCCAGTCATACTTGGTATTCAGCCTCAATAAATTCCTTTAATCTAAATACAATTCCATCTCTTCAGTGTCTTGGGAATTTCCAACTGGTATCTGTTGTTTACTGGTTTATTTATATTCTATAATGAAAACTTGTTTTATAGATGCCCCAAGTCCGTCAGAATCAGCTGCTCTTCTAGCAAACTTCACCTTTGTAGCTCGTGACTCCAAGACAGGAAAAGCAGCACCAGTTAACCAGATCTTGCCTGAAACTGAAGGTGAAAAATTGCTTTGGATAGAGGCAGAAGAGAGGAACAAGATGAGAAAACAGAAGAGAGCACAACATAAAGGAGATGCTCAAGACAAGGATGTAGACAGGCTCAATGCATTGTTGGCAGAAGGACGGATTTTCTGTGACATGCCAGCATTGGCAGACAGAGACAGTATTCTTATAAAGGATACCTATCACGAGAATTCTTTGATTTGTCAGCCTCAGCAAAGGAACATTCATGGTCGTATTTTTGGAGGATTTTTGATTCGGAAAGCATTTGAATTGGCCTTTTCAAATGCTTATGCCTTTGCTGGTGCAGCACCTCAATTTTTAGAAGTTGATCATGTTGACTTCTTAAAACCTGTAAGTAAACTGCTGCCTTCCTTGACAATAAGCAGTAACTATTACTAAAAGGTATCTTGTGAATTCCTGATATGCATCTATTCATTTGTTTGTCAGATGTCATTACTCGAAAATTGGAAACATACTTAATGATAATTAGGGTTGTACCGTTGTAGATGGCTGTTACAAGAGTAATTCAAGTGAAATATGGGATAGGGGTTCCACACGAAGGATGGAATTAATCTCACCCCAGCAGATAGAAAGCCACGATTGGCTTTTAAGAAAGATTGTGGTTTCTTGGAACTCAATAGAAGAAACTTATATTTGTGGTTGCTGCAAGTGAATCAATCAATGATAAGTGAGTGAGAAGTGAGTGAAGAAGAGAGAGTGGAGGAGAATTCACCAGTGTCTATTTTAAGAAACCAGCAATTAGCCTATTTACGTGCAGTTGCAGCTAATTTTACTATATTTACTAGACAAATTTTTGTATGTTGATGGTCACAGAATGGGCGGGCAAATGTGAGAACAAATTTTTATCATATGTTTAATGTATTTTGAGTAGTACTAATCATCTTGCTGCTGCAGGTTGATGTTGGCAATTTCCTACGTCTCAAATCTTGTGTTCTTTATACACAACTTGAGGACACAGCTAAGCCTTTGATAAATGTGGAAGTCATAGCTCATGTAACAAGGCCAGAGCTAAGGTCCAGTGAGGTGAGCACCTGAATTATACCGTATGATAATCAAAGATATTGTGGATGAACTATTTGCTATGCCTCTGTATCAAGGTTTTTAAAACCGGACCGGACCGGCCGGTTGAACCGGTCAAACCGGGAACCGGACCTGAAAACGGTTCAATGACCGGTCTGGTTTTGAAAACATTGCTCTGTATGAAGAAAATAAAAATTAAAAATAAATATAACTTGTAACAACTAAAATACACCTGAAGGTTCTGATCATCTCCTTGGAAGTGTTAATGTTGTCTTAAAGTTCCAGTTTCTCTGAACTTGGTGCTAAGATTAAACTTAATGCAATTTGAACAGGTATCAAATAAATTCTACTTCACATTTACTATCCGTCCTGAGGCAATGAAAGATGGATTGAGGCTGCGAAACGTTGTTCCAGCTACAGAAGAGGAAGCACGGAGAGTGCTAGAACGTATGGATGCTGAGGAAAAATCATGAACAGAAGATCTCTTTCTGGCCAATGATAAGTGTTAGTACAAACATCCTGAAGGTATTTGCATACTGAGAATTCTAGAACTTTTCTTGATCCAATTTTTGACATCCTGAGGTTATTTGTATTACAAAATCTGTGACAAATGTCTTGATCCTTGGTGTTGGAAGTTCGTAAGTGGATTGCTAGAAAGAACAGTCCAGTCCAAAATTTTCATTAGAAATAAGAGCTTAACATTAACTCATCTTAAGGTGCTTTATTTAAGTTCAGTTTCTTAAGATTTACAAAATAGACCCCAACTTTTCTGCGTATATTAGATTATCAAGTCCTTATATAAATCCATCCCTGCATATATTACATAGAAAAATAGCTCCCAAAATCCTGCAAGTCAATATAACTGCAAACCTGGCCGATGCAATATATTCAGTATGCTTTATGAGCTAGCATCTTTGCATATTGAGTAATGCCGGTTTCTGGAAAACATCATGGGTAGACATGAGAAAATGATCAGGCACTAGGATTAGGGTGAGCCTTCTACATCCGAAGAACCATCAGGCTGCCTCACACTGAATCCTGGGAAAACTGGTGGCACAGCTGGATTCATTGGCATTGGACGTATAGAACTGCATATTGATCGTTCATTTATCTTCCCAACGTCCTTACAAACGCCATCAAGAATGGAAAGAAAATCTCTTACCACCATGAAAATCCTAAATGGATGTGCTTCTTCCTTGGCGGAGTTCCCATGGAAATACTCAGTTAATTCCCTCACCAAAGAGAAAGCAACTCCCTCTTGACCTTGAATTCTTAAAATCTCTTCCTCCGCCTTCTTCAGAAAGGCATTCATTGACTCGGCGAATTTGTGTATACTGTCCTTGAGTGGAATGTCTTCACTTAATTTTATAACTTCTGCAATTTTCGAGATTCCAGAAGCAAGTTTTGAAACTTCACTGCTTAGAACATCTGAATCCATAGCAGCTGCTTTCTTTACATGGGAAAGCTCCCCACTCAGACCTGAAACAACCTGAAGGCCGAGCTTCCTATATTCAACATCATCCTGAAAAGTCAATTGCTGATTTTTCTCAACTTTGAGATTCTGATTGGCAGCAGAAACCCGGGAGCCTTCATATCTGATGATTTCCTGCACAACAAAATGCAAAAGCGTGGTTTTTCCGTCAGTTCCCTTTACATCAACAAGCTTAAGGAGTGTGTCCAGCTTGAAGGCATGGGCATCGCCACGGTTGGTGCCAACATTCATCCTGTTCCCAGTTTTGAGCACTGCTTCCAAAAGTTTCAAGAACATTCGGCTATTTCGCAGCTCTCCACAAGCAACCTACAGATGAAGAAGTTTTATTCAGCAGTTGGATATGACCACACAGCCCACAACAGCATAATAATAACGGAAACTGTTCCTGGAAAGAAATAGGTGAAAGAAAAAACTACCAACTTATACTACAGCTCAGCAGGGCAGGATGAAGAAGAAAATTTTTGTTGATAGGTAACAGAAAACACATCTTGATGAAGAAAAGAATTCAAGCAGCATAATGCATTCAAGAAGAACAGTAAACAGTACTTATTCTATAACGTGTGTGTGCAGCTGTATAGACATACTAATTTTCTTCCAACCAATGAAATCTACACAAACTGAATATAGCAGCTTCTATGTGTAGGCTTATTTTAATAATCGACTCAGCTCAATTTTCAATGCAGATTATATATCGCTATTGCATGTGAAAAACATCTGAAGTGATCTGCCTTGAAAGACTCATGTATCCCAACCATCCCGACAATTATACTCCATACTTCTACATAGAAGACAAATTAGCCTCAAGATACACACATACTTCAGTTGTCTGTTTAAGGTGATAGGCATCTCTTGGGCCTGCAGTCATCTGATTTTTGGGGGAAAAACCATGTAAAAGGACCAATTATTGAAAAAAGTTCGGAATTCAATTAAGGCAACTGAATATCTATTGAGTTGTGTTTATGAGTCCCTTATAGTATTGCTTGAGAGATTTACCTCCAGAGTTTCAAAAGATCTTCTTAGGTACTCAACTTCAGAATCGAAGTTGGCAATGTAAAGCATTGCATCAACCCTCTTGAATGCAAAAGGTATATCAAGCAGTGCTCTGAGGAATTTCTCAGCAGGACCTAACTTAAATGGTGATTCATCCTTGAAATCCTTCAGTTTATGCTCTTCTTCTTTTGTTGGAGCCATCTTCAGTAAGCTTTCAAGAAGCTCTGTCCCCAGCATATCAGAATTGCCTGTTACCAAAGAAAGAAAATACATTAAATCACATAAAACAGCATCAATTGCTTCCTCTTCCGGTTTCAAGAGGGGCATTATTATCTCAAACTCTGACCCAGACTCGTATATATATAGACAGACAGACAGACATGTTGAGAGCGAGAAACCAATCTCAACTTGACTGGGTTTCTTGCCCTCTTTCTTTTGGCCTTAGGTAGAACTTATTTCCAACAGAAATGATAGGAAAGGTACCAATCTGAATTAGAGATTAAAATGCTTAAGTAAGGAAAGACTTTTTATTCACCATCATCATAGCATCCATTTTTGAGAATGTTTAGCAAGCTATCTGGACCCTTTGAAGAGCAATAAAAGATAAACCATTACGGAAATACAGGGAAACATAGTACATCTTTCACAGCCAATGTCCTGGATGAATATAAGGTATGTCCTGGATGAATATAAGGTATGTCCTGCAGAAAATTAAGAACACTGAAAACTTCCTAAAACAAAGTTGACAAGAAAATGAAATCCATCTCTAATCACATTCCTGCACGCAAAACAACCAAGCTTGAGATTGTTTTTGAAGTTGTACGACACCCATACAATCTGAGATTACAAATTAAATTGCATTGTGGATACTGGATAATCAAATGAGCATTCCAAAATAAGACTAACTACAGCGTCACAATTTCATCACATTAACACATATAACACCACTTCAAGAGTTACCTTCAGTAAGTCCTTCACAAACTTCATCATTGGTCACATTCAGTGCTCTCAATAAAATTGCAATGTTCTGAGACTTTTTGGGATCAAGCACTCGATTTTCTTGAATAGAAGACGAGAGACCCTGCCTTAAGGTATTATCTTTAGGCAAATTCGTGCCATTTACCATAAACAGCGTCTCCATCATTTCCTCATTCAATCTACAAAAATTAAGGGTAATTTTATATGCTCCGCCATAACGTAGAAATATAGTACTTCAATCCCATTCCCAAACACTAATGGAAAAAGTGTTTCACAGGCTGGACTGCATATTATATGTGCAGTTCAACCTATGAATTTACTAAAATACCCTTAATAACATTATTTCCTAACTAATTTACTAAGGATACTTCAGTAATTTCATGCTCAGACTGCACTTTAAATGCGCAGTCCGGCCTGGAAAACATGAATCCCACTAGAACTTTATCAAGGAACACTAGAAATCTGAAGAAGCACTAAAAGCAAATGAGAGATGTAAATATATCTTACTGAAAAGAGCTTGTTTTAATCTGATCCCACACCATGGCCCGATCGGAGCTTGCTCTAACTTTGTCCCAATGCAAAGGCTTCAACTTTGGTTTCGGGTTCTCCTCCTTCCTTTCTAAACCTTCATTATTCTTCAATTCATCATTCACTGCCAAATTCTGCATTACCACCGGCCTTGAAGGCGCAAAAAGGACTGGAGGTCCAGAGTTTGGGTACCTAATCATCTTTCCGTTCACTGACATCTCCCAAAAACGCCGTGGAGGAAGTGGCGGAGGTGGTGGTGGCAGCTTTATCGGCACAGTTTTTGGTGAGGATTGCGCGTTCTGCCCCGAAAATCTCGCAACTCTAACGGGTGAATCTCTCTGTGGAGGTGATGATAATGTTCTAGATGATGACGATGATGATAATGATGTCGGTGACGGGGTTTTGGATCTCGCCGCATAATTAGGAACGATAACGGAATCCGGTGACTTTGATTTCTGGCTTTGAGGGCTCGAATTCAATGTTGAATTTGTTGGGGAACATAAGTTGGAATATGGGTACGATGCGGTTCTTGAATTGAAGCTCCTACTCCCAAAATTCTCACCTTGAAACTCCCTTCTTGAACTCGACCCAAATATCGCCGGCGGGCTCTCTTTCCGACCGGAAGAACCTCTTGGTGAAAAGAATTCCTCATTCCCATCTTCGCCATCATCGTCATTATGGCTAACCACTTCCCCACTTCGAATTAACTGCTCTCCACTCTGATAAGTCTGCACTCGCGGCAGAGGCGGTAAAGGCTTCAGCTCAGGAGACCCAAGTTTATGATACGGCGAAGATGATACACCGATCTTGATACTCGCATTCTTCGATTGGCTTGCATTATCCGGCTCCACCCTTGCTCCTGAATTCGCCAAGGTACCCAAGTATAAGAACTCCGAGCTGTGGTTCGTCGACACATAGCGAGGCGGTTGTTGCGGTGATGGGGGTGGTTTCTGGGGTGGTTTCTGGGAGGCGTCTGAAGGAGCAGTATTTGGCGGGAACAACCGGAGGGAGTCAGGACGTGAGGCCTTGTCTGTACCCCGGTGCTTGCGATTACGGAGGAAGAGGAACAGAGTAACCAGAGAGAGGAGAACAGCAGCAATGAGAAGGGATGCAGTGAGAGAGATGAGGATGTGGCGGTGGGAGGAAGAAGAAGAAGAAGAAGAAGAAGAAGCAGAAGAAGAAGAGGTGTGAGGGAGGAGGAGAGAGGATATGTTGGCGGGAAAAGTGGGAAGGGTAGAAGGCGGTGAAGGAGGTGGAGCAGAAGGTAAGGAAGGAAAGAAAGGAGTTTGGATAGTGGAAGGAGGACTTAAAGAAGAGGGATACTTGGGTTGCTGGTGAGAATGGGTTTGAGGTTGGGGTGAGGGAGAGGGAGGAAAGGAAGGTTGATATATAGGAGGAAATAGAGTTTGAGGGAAAAAGGGTTGGTGGAGGAGACGCCGGTGGAACTGGTAGTGCCGGTGAGAGACGGTGGTTAAAGCGGTGGTGGTGGAGAGTAGGAGGATCAAAACAAAGACCTTGACACTGACATTAGCAACACTGGTGGCCATTCTTTTGTACTGTAGAAAGAATACACAAAACAGAACAAAAACACAACAAGCTTCACTATTTTGACAATGACAGAGGAACAGTGGGAGGAAGAGGGAAAGGAAGGGAAATGGGAAGAAAGAAAAGAACTTTCTTCTTTCCTTGGAGGGGGTACTACATGGTGGGGTGAGGAAGAAGAGAGAGGAAATGGAGGAAAGAGAGAGAACGGAAGTTCAGAAAGCAAAAGCAGAGCAACCCCAGTAGGATATTCCAGTAAAGAATGAAAATCCCACCTTTTTCCTATCTTTCACCTCTGAAACTGAACTGAAACCAGAACCACCATTGTTGCGTACTCAAGATGAAGGAAGGGAAGAAGGAGAAGAAGGAACAAAACAGAAAAGGTTAAAACTTTAAAGCATCTGACATACAGACATTTTTGTTGATTGTTGGGATTTTGAATCATAAATCTTGTGTTGGGATTCTTACAATTATCGCAATCTGGTAAAAGATGAGGTGGGGGCTTTAGCTGGGTACAGTGGAAGTGAGGTGAAAAGGGGAATGCACAACTTTCTTCTTTTTCCTCCGTTGCTTATTTTCAAAAAAAAAAAACTTTTTCCTTTGCCCTTTCACACGCGCACAGGGTTGCATGTTAAAAAGAGAGGTGACTATGGCCTTGTCCTTGCAGAGTACTGATCATAGGAAAAAATATCCCACAAAATTTTGGGTGTTTCTCATCGTCCACGTTACCCTCGGCTCGCCTGGATGGGAAAGACGAGTGTGTTTTTCCCTTCGCCATGAGGAATGATGGGTGTTTTCTGTTAATGGGTGTAATTTTAGTCACTTACTCAAGTTAAGTTTGTATAACAGTACTTTTCTATGTAGTCCGTGAATCACAATTACTTTTTTTTTTTTTTTTAAGAATGTTGTGGTGCAGTGTACAGATTTTATTATTTTTAGATTCATTTTTTCAATCAATGATTAAAAAGTACACGGATTAAACTTTTTTTAATCAAACCGCACTATTTTAAGTAGAATTTTGTCACACTCTAAAATGATACATTCTCTCGTCTATCGGTCTATGTCCTATAGTTAATGAGCTTTTGAAAATATCATTTTCAGTCCACCTATACTCATAAAAAAGGTCAAAAAAAGAGGAATTTTTTTAATATGCTTTAGTAAATAATTCAAGCATGTAAGGATAAAAAATATATATATATATATAAATTCAAACTCCTGTGGTAAGAGAGTAAAAGCTTTTTGTACTGATCATACAATTTTCACTCAATGCAAGCGTTTTGTACTTTAATTATGGAAGCTCCTCTCAAAATACATTTTTTAGTATGACAATAATATTACAAGGTATGTCATTAACATCACTTAAGGTAACTATTTAACCAAAATTTCAGTTTTTATTCATATGGGTATTTTTTTGTTTTTAATTTGGCTCGCATAATGAAGTCAATCCTATATTATTTCTTAAGCTTTCACAATTTCAACTTGAATTTAAAATGTTATGCTTTTATTTAAAAAAATAAGCTAATTAAGTCACTAGAAATACTTAAGAATTATCTAAAGTTATATGGAAAGATAAAAGTGAAAGGAATTCACAAATGGAAATAGGTAATAGAATCTTTTTAGTTCTTTGTAGTATTTTTTAGGTATAAGTAACTTTGAACCTTGAATTATGTTTTTTTTTTTTTTTTAAGAAAATTTGAATTATGTTTTTGTTCTAATAAAATCCTCTTATTAACTTTTGTCTAAATAAACACCTCAAAGTTATTTTATTACAAAACAAGCCCCACTAGTGCACAATTTTTACATTTACGACCAGAAAATACTACATGAAATGAAAAGCATATGCTTTTAAAAACAATGTTGCTGTCTCTTTGTGCCTCTCTTGTCTGCTAGGATTCTATTTTTAGGAGTTCGACAACTGGTAATGCTATGAAAAAGCTCCTTTCTTAAAGATCTTGGTTGAAATTAGTAAGCAGTCTTTTTTCCTGGCCTCATAAGGAACTCTAGTGCTTTTGTAACATTCCTTCCGTAGATACCCCGTCCTTCTTAGATGAATAGCCAATAAAAAATTATCTTACAATCAACATTTCTTTCTTAGATTCTTTTGTTCTAACTAGGAAAATTACTTTTGGCATAGATGCTATGGTTGTGCAAAGAAAGAGTTATAAATGAAAATTACTTTAAAAGACTTATTTGGGACAAAAGTTAGTACAAAGACCTAATCAAAATAATTGACTTAATTGAAGGAGCAATGCTAGGGGATATTCCTTTCTTTCTTTCTTTCTTTTTTAACATGTATCTTTAGAATGTACATTTAGAATACAGGTTAAAAATATTTTTTATAACAAATTTATATAAAAAATGTAAAAATTGATATTAATTTTGATATTAAAAAATTTTAATTGGATAATTGATAAATTAAAATTTAATTTTTATTTTTTTATATAAATTTATAATAAAAAAATATTTAATATACTCTCAACTTACATTTTAAAACTATAAATTAGACAAATTTTTTTATTTTTAATGAGGGAATTTTAGGAAAATGGTGAAACACTACAAATGTCCCCATGGAAACTTGAACCTCGGCACGGAAACAAGTTTTTACAGCACATTGCCACCGGGGCGGATGTTCTTGGGTTTTACGTATGTCGGCCGCTTACAGTGCACGGTGGCGCTGCCGTATTTAAGTAGGGGGACAATTTTCCCCGGCTGAGTTAAAGCCTGATAAATGAACATTCATTGTTGGATGTTTTTCGGCCAGAGATATATAATATAGCCCATCACCAGGACACGCTATTATTATTGTTTTTTCATTTAACTTGGGCAACGGCTATAATGGTTGCTAGTACATTTTTTCAATGCAATTCGTACTGGGAATTTATATTTCCTGAGCAAATCTAATATTTGTGCCTCAGAACTTCCTTGAACAGAATTTCTAGGTTCAATTAAAAAATTAGTTAGCATTGAAACCGATATAATTCGTTTAATAATGTTTCTTTTGGTAAAAGAAGTATGAGGTTTTTAATATGAGTTATATGATATATGGGTGAAGTTAATTAAATTATTATTATTATATAACTTAAGATAAAAATAAAAAATAAAAAAATTAGTACTAATTTTAATACTCATATTATGTACATATTTTTAATTTAATGATTGATAAAATTGATATTAATTTTATTTGAACATTGATGTGTGACTCATATGATCATTGTATATATTTTCCCGCTCATGCCACTAAGATTCGAGTCCTCCTACCTCATTTCCCTTTATCTCCGATTCCCTTTGTACAAAATATATATATATATATATATATCTATATTAATTTTGTTTCTTTTTTGTGTATACTAACGAAAGATATACTTTATTTGTTAAATTTTAATAAACTTAATTTTTAATTTAAGGTATATAAATTTATGCTCTTTTTAGTATGATTGTGATTTTAGGTTTTTAGTTTTGATTTTTATAAATTTGTAATTTTAAACAAAAAACTTGTTTATTTTTACATATATTTGCAACATATTATCATAATTATTAGAAAAATAAGAATAAAAATAACTTTAATACTATTAAATAAGTAAATATTTTAAAATTTGTGTTAAAAGAACCTTAATGATTTGTTTTTTCTTTTTAAATGTTATTTAATGTATTTATTTTTATTTTATCTTTATTTTAAAAATAATTACAACATAAATTAAATGAAAAAAATTAAACTAAGACTTAAATTTGATCAAAATGAGTAATAAATATACCCTTAACTTATACTACAATCTAATACTATAATGAGATAAGATAGAAAAGGAAGTTGTTATAGACACCTACTATTTTATTAAAGTCATACAATTCTATTTAATTTGATTATTAAAAATAACTAATAACTGATAAAACAACTTATATTTATTATTTAACATATTGAATTCAATTTACAAACTAATATTTTTAGATATCATAACTAATTATCTAAAAAAAATTATAAACATATAAAATATTAGTCAGATTATATACTCACTCTATTCATTTTTAATAGATTTAATTAAACTTTTTGGCATTTTATACATAAATTTTGAATAAAAATTTAACATATTATATAAATGATAATTAAAAAAAAATTATCAAATAGAAGTATTAAACAAGAATTTCACATAAAAAGAGAAAATTTTTTAATTATTATTCATATAAATTATTAAAATTTTATTTAAAATTCATCTTTAAAAATTAAAAAATTAAATTAAATTAATTAAAAATTAATAAAAAATAATTTCTTAATCATCTTAACAAAATAATTTAGGACATGTTTGGTGAAACATGTAAAAACTTCACATTTTTGATACTATTCATATTTCATAAGTTTAAATTTTTTTTAAAAAAACTTATATTTTTAAATTTCTTTTTAACTTTGAAAAAACCTTAAACAGTAAATTTTGAAAAGTTTTAAATTTTGGTTTTTTATAAACTTCTTTATTATTCACTTCTTACTAACTTTTTTTTATTTATAAAAGTAACTTTTAAATTTTTTTTAATAAAAATTTAAATTTATCACTCATAAATAATAATAATAATAAAACTCTTACAAATTTTACGGAACATGCTTTAAAACATGCTTGGGTTAGGTAGTAAGAACTTTTACTTTTTTTGTACTATTCATGAGTGATAAGTTTAAATTTTTATTAAAAAAAATTTAAAAATTACTTTTAGAAATAGGAAAAAATGAATAAAAAGTAAGTAAAAATAAAGTTTATGAAAAATTTAAATTTAAAACTTTTGAAC